TGCACCATACGCAGGCGTTGATTGTCGAGCGCCTACTCAAGCCATAAACACTAAACATACCACATTGAGCTGCACCTACCTTCTTGATTACGGCATTGAATTGCTCGTTGGGATTGTTTGTAGTTGATGCTCCAACGGCTGTGTGGTATGCCTGCCATTTCCAAAAGCGCTTGCTTGTCCGAGCATTCCGGCCCGCAGGCGGCGGCAACCACTGCTTGAAAAATTTCACCTTGAATCTGCCCATCCCGGCGGATGTACGTCTCCACTTTTGCGCCAGCGGTACTGCAAGTGCATCGAGATCGGCCCTATCGGACGCCATATGGAGACTGTATATGTCTTTCGTTACTTCGCGCCACTCTTCAGCCGTAAGTTTTTCTTCTACTGCGTAATCACGGCTCTAGATTTGAAGTTTAGTGTAATAGACTTAAGCATTCTACCTTTTTCATAACGTGAAAGAAACACATGAGGTACGATGTAGTTTGGCCGAAAGTAGCATTTACGCCATTGAACTAAGCGTCGTCGGCGTCGCCCATGATGAATGTCGGCGAAAAATTGTGAGCAAGACGGTCGTGAAAGACTTGCTGGAGACCCCGTAGTAACCACGAAACGTCGTCCGCTGTGCGGCGTGACGTCACAGCCACACACAGCACGTGGAAAGTTCCACCGAGGTCTGCATAGCCGACAACGAACACAGGGTAGCCGGATACATTCAATTGGAATGTAGTATCCATGTGAACTACAATTTGAAGACCAGGGTTTGACGTCATGGCATCACGATAGTTTCCAAGCAATGTCATCGTGGTAAGACCTGCTGAATGTAAGTATATAGGATGGGTTAGACTTCGTACCTATGCGTAATGGGTCAAGGTCTGAGCCGTCTCCAACGACCGGTTCATCATTAACATACGCTAGCCCGAATGCAAAGGCTTGCTTTGCACTTGGTTCGCCAATCACGCCAGGGACCATCCTTGTCTTCAGCTCTTTCAACACTGCTTCATCCGTGTCAACGTGACCAAACAGCTTGGCCTTCATTAGTTTCATGACGCCTGCGACCTGACTGCTGCTTGGACACGGAAAATCCAATGGATCGCCAAACCGTCCTTCACTCGATTCGTTCACAATTAATCGATGCAGCGTCGCCGTTTTTCTCAGCGGGTTGTCGACCAAGAGTTGTTCTATACGTGTCTTCATTTGGTCCGTCACCTATAACAATTGTTTAGTCAGAAAGGGTTAGTAATATTGTACTCGGTTCATACCTTGGGCGTTCTAGGAGATCGAGACGCACGAGTGAGAGGACGGTCTTCGTTGTGGAGGCCGTTTTGTACAACGATGCTGTCCTGGGTTAGGTTGCATTGTCGTATCACGTACTGGGCTTGGCAGTGCCGAAAGTTAGGGTCGTTGGTTTCAAGCGGGTATCATCGATGGGATTCGCACTTGGTATCCCAACGTATCATGTGGTGTTGTCACCTCACGATTGGCCTCCTACGCCTATGCAGTGGCCAAGAAGGGTGCTGCCATGGACAACATTTTCGGCTTCATTGACGGCTCCAAGGTTGAAACCTGCCGAATTACCCAGAAGCAAGAACGTGTGAGCAGCTCTGCAGGGGGCTATGGCGACCTCCATTTAGATTCACCTCTCTTCTTCGTTGACACGATAGAAGTAACAACTAATTCATTCTCGTTTATACTACTTTGTTCGCACACCGTGGTGGTTCACCGCCACTCACCGCATCGCATACTTCCTATAAAGCGAGCACCACGCGCGTTGTCACTGCCCGACACGCCACACTATTGCACGCGGTCGACAACATCGCACTTCCGCCAGACACCCAAAACCGCACCGGCGGCAGCGCACAGACCATCGGCTTTCACAAGACCATCATACTTCAAAACATCAAACATACGCTCAGGCTCCAACGTCACCGGCCCGCTAAAACACCCGGACCAGTTCCGGGCGGAGATGAACGAAGCCCGTCGTCAAGCACTCAACACCTCGTCAACCTTTGCGACCCCAAGCCCCGATCCGTCGCGCCACCTCGCCTTCGACAGCGAGCCTTCCTTTCCCAAGCGCGTGTCCAAACCAAACCTTTGCTACGCCTCGATGATGCTGGCCGAAGTGGCCCTGGACGCAGAACTGGAAGGCTACCAACACGATTATGACTCGTTCATGGAGAAGATACGATGAGTTACCGCGTCGACGGCGTCGAGTACGCCTGTACGACTGTCCTAGTCAACCCGGTCCCCAACAGCTACCGAGAGGTGATGGCTTCACCGGACTGGCCCCACTGGAAAGAGGCGGAAGAAGCCGAGGTGGCGCAACTTCTCGCACTCAAGTGTTGAACGATCGAATCACCGCCACCCAGACGCAAAGTTATCCAAGGCCGGTGGACATAGGCACGCAAGACCGACGCCGAAGGCAACGTAATTCTCTGGAAGGCGCACTGTGTCTTGAAGGGCTTATCGCAGATCGCGGGAGTGGACTACGATGAGTCCTCATTCAACGTCATCAAGATGACATCGATCCGCGCCATCTGCGCCGTCGCCACCTCTCGCCACATGGTGATCGAGCAGACCGACGCAGTGAACGCCTACATCCAAGCAACATTACGACGACCAATATGGGCGGTCGAACCTGAAGGGCATGTGACCCAACGCGGCAAGGCTGCCTTGGTCACCATGGCGTTCTATGGCCTGAATCAGAGCGGCCACTAGTTCGAAAAGCATGCAAGAAGCAGATCGCTTCACTCGGCTGGGCCCAAAGCTCCCACGACCAATGCGTCTTCACCCGCGGCCAGGGCAGCGACATGAAAATCCTCGACACGTATGTCGACGATTTCATTGTCGCCGCCCCGACGCAAGAGTAGATGCACAAGATCATGACCACTTTGGCCGCCAAGCGCCAAGTCCCCGTCCACTACCTACTCGGCATCAGAATCAGCCGCAATATGGATGAAGCGACACTCACCATGTCCCAAGACGCGTACGCCGCCAAAGTCTTGATCGATTCGGCATGACCAACTGCCACCCCATCGCCACGCCCGAGCTGGCCGACCAAGAATACCTATGGCACGACGAAAGTCAACCAAGTATTGACCAAGGGGAGTACCGAGCAATGATCGGATCCTTGGTGTACCTAATGGTCTATCGCCCACGCCGTGCAGCGTCTGTCTTGCCATCTCCACGCCCCGCGTATGCCCCACCTTGTCGGCGCCAAGCGTGTCCTACGATACCTGCCAGGGACCAAGACATGGGGCATCCAATTGGGAACAGGGGAGCCTACCTTGGGTGGATACTGTGACGCAAGCTGGGCCACCCCCGATCGCCGATCCACCAAGGGCTTCTTGTGGTCGTTCCTCGGCGGCCTCCTCATGTGGAAGAGCCTCCGCCAGCATATCACTGCACTCTCCTGCTGCGAAGCCGAATACATCGCGGCAGCCGAAGCGGCCCGCGAATCATCGTGGTTGCGCGGCCTCATGGCCGACCTTGGCGTCGCCACGACACGCTCACCGTGTACTGCGACAACATGTCCGCCATCGTCACGTCTAAGTATACGGCGATCAGTGGGCGCACCAAACACATCGACGTAAATCATCATTACCTTCGCGAGCTCGTCCAAGCCAGCGAATTGTCCCTTAAGTTCGTCCCCACGGCAGCCATGCGAGCCGACGCTTTGACCAAAGACGCAACGAATTTCTCATGCGAGCATTTCGAAAATGGTCAACGGCAAACTGCCGGACGCCAAACCCTCCAACCCCAAGATAATGGACCAATGACAGGCCAGCACCCCCAGAGAATGGACCAATGACAGGCCAGTCAGCCCAAGAGAATGCGCCAATGACAGCGCAGCCTACCAATGATGGAGTCAGGGTTAGGGGAGTGTTGAAGTTCTGTATGTTGATGGCAGCGGAATCATCCGGATACCGCAACTTGAACCCTGGATGACATTGTTTATTACCAGGAAAGCATTGCACACTTACATCATTGCACCATAGACGAAGATACAGCGACCATCAAGGGCATTGGCGCTGGGTCACCTTCAAGTGCGTGGGTAGAATAGAACAGGATATATGTGTTGAAGTAGTTCATTAGCTTAACACTCCTTAACTACTTTCCGATTTCCCATCTTGTTCCTAAGTCGCTCGGTCACGCAAGCCGCTTTCATCCAAGCCGCAAGTCGCACACCAACAGTTCAACAGGTACTGAGCTCGTCGGACATCCCTCTTAGCGTGTCCCTACCAATTGAACTTTCAGCACGACATGCTGGGGAAGAGACCGGATGGATCGAGTAACCACCAGGATGCCGTCACCCCCCGTTGTCTGACCTGTCTCAATTGGAGCGTCCTCCGTACATGACAGGACTGGTCACGGGCTGAGAGACCGGAGTTTATGCTCCTTGGCGTGGGCCAAAGGGGTCGGAGGGCTGCAGCTGCTCCGAAAACGAGTTCAAGCCAAAATCGCGCATTTCGGCCACCGGAGAGGTCAAATCGCGAATTTCAACCTCCATGTCGTCGGAATTCGTCTCACACGTTCAATTGGAAGGTGGTGAGAGTACATTCATGCCCTGCACTATAGAATTGGTGCCAGCAGCGACGGTAGCGGCGAGAAATGGGGTGCTTTAGCGCGGATAGATACCATAGTTAACTCAAGTAAGCAAGTGTCTTGTATGAGGCAAAATAGGAATTAGAGTGTCAGATTGCGCAGCGTGAGACTCGGGTTCGAATCCCCACCCGGTTGTACCTTTTTACATTTTCACACACATCTACATACAAAATCACTATACAATCCGAAAAACCTCTATACTTCGTAGTAAAACTTTTTAATGGAGCAGTGTACCATGGCCAGGCGCTGACCTGACCTTGAAAGGCGCTGTTGGAGAAGCGACTGTGAGCGTGAGTACAATTCGCTTGTGCAACATCGCCTGAGCAAGGTGTATGTAGTGATTCCGCTTCAATTACTCCCTCGCCATCCACAAGCAACATCTCATGCGTCAAAGACTCGTCCATCGCGCTTTCGTCTTAAAACAACAACGGGCCGTCCTATTGTTCAACGACATCGCCCTGTGAACAAGGCTTGTCCACATATTCTTGGCGCCGCGCACCTACTCGCACACTGGAGTCCTCAAATTGGCACGGGCTGCAGCTGGCTCCTCTTCCAGACTATCCGGGAGAAGAGTCAGCTGTAGTCCGTGGCGATAAAAACACCTACAATAAGTCACTCCTAGCGGTCATCTGCAGATCCATCCTAAGACCTAGATCAGGGCTGCATTGGGCCAACATGGCCCTCCAACGCTGGAAACCGGTCATCGCCAATGGGACGCCGAAGTCGCCACGGCCAGTTTAATGGTCCTTGGCTATTTTGAAATGACACGTGTCGACAAAAGACCACGACCGGGCATTTAAAATGTTTTCAACCCAATCTGTTTTGTAGCCAATCATTGATTAGTATTGTCTTCAAATTATATGATTGGATAATAACAATCATGTGTTGACAAAACTTCGGTGTCCCTAAAAATCCGTGTCATTTTATAGTGGACATTTGTCACATATGGGTGTGTTTTAATATAATGTACATTTGGTTTGGCCAATGAGAGCCACGTAACGTTAACAAATATATTCAGCCAATCAAAGCATAACCAGGTGTTTCGTCTAAATGCATCGATGTAATTGGTGTATATCCACCAATCAAACGCTGAGTATGGCACGCTACATCCATTTAATTGGCGGAAACTTCTTCTGATCATATCAAGATGGGTGCGACTACTTTCAGTGGTTGTTATTCTGTCATTTATGAATGAGTCGCTTCATTTAGTAGTTCTTTGGGTACTTCTGCCCTTTCTCAAATTCTGGTCACCATCTGGTTTCCGCCAAGATGGTGACATTCCCGATTTATATTGTCCACTATCCGAGTAACGTTATCCCCAAACCATGATTGGGTACAGGGAGATGCGGGACCTGACAGATGGACAAGGATAATTGAGTTTGGATTATCCTTTTTACTGTGGACAAGGTGTGAAATACTTAGAGCTAATAGTTACTACTCACACTACAAGATAGTGCATTGCTGACTCAGTCTATACAGCATGGTCTGCGTATGCACAGCTCTCTCTGGCATGAGGCATCTTACCCGCATGTACTGTACGCGCTTGCTCTTGCAATACGACGATTTTGGCAAGTTCGAAGTTGTCTTTCTTTCTCTACAGTTGTTGATTCAGGCGACATGCAATAAGGTGTTTTTGATACTGTAGTACTGTACTGTATTGGTTGTTATTATAGGGAATGGAGAGTTTCGTGACCTCGTTCAGAATGCATCGCGCCTTATGTAAAAATCATGGGAAAACGAAAATAATAAAAATACGCTTGTTCAATACAAACATCAGTATCAACATTGATGTCAAGATAATAATATTATGTAACTGTCATCCACGTGCTAAACTCCGTGGACGTGGCAAGGTTCAGTTCTTGGTTGACTTGCATGTGTCAACTTGAATAACGTTAGAAGTATCCCATGACACTGGTGTTCCATGATTTGAAGGAATCTTGGAGCGTTAATTCTTCATAATAATCGTTTGTGTCATGTTCCCTCTTCTCCCTGTAGTACAAAAAAATATCGGTAGTTCGCACTGTAAATAACAATACCAGGCGTCCCATTGGTGCTTCTACACTTTTCATTTGTTTTGTATGCGGTCCGACAGTTGTCAATGGACGACACTCGAAATAAGTTTGGCGAAACAACAAAATAGCTCACCGCAATGAACTTTTCATGTTGAAGTCTCAACTAACAAATGTCAATGGCAGTATAAACCGAGACCGAGAAGCCGATGCAAGCTTACTTTACGTGGCATGAGCGACAACTGGAGAATTGGAGGGTCTGCTGTACCGCTCGAATGTGTGTGTACTTCGCAACCACATACAATTTCGTTTCAATACTACCGTAGCATTGAGTGCAGTAAATGTAGTACTAAATACTACTATATATTAATAATAGTACTACGTAGAATACTGGTGTGGACATTTGAGATTGTGAGGATGGCAGCTGCGGAAAAAACAAACATGGGTCACTTGACAGTGGGAGCCAAGAATATCTTGTTCCCCTAGAGTATATACCGTAGCTGCTTCAGAGGAGCTGTGCGTAGGAACCACGAGGTACACCACACTACGTTTACCATGGGTCGTATCGATAGTTTTCTTGGGAACTTACTTCCGTAGCCAGCATTCACCCCAGCCCAGTGACTTGCCATCAGGTACTGGTATGGGGAAGAATATTTCTGGAATGTCAAAAGCTTATTCGCACGAATATCCACAACAGGCATCCTCACTACGTTCTGAGGTCCCGGATGTACAGTAGTACTGTACAGCTCAACTGAGATGGGGCGACCGAAACATGGAGCTCGCTCAGCGAACCGGCTCAACGCAGCTGAAAGTACTGTAGTCTTTACAGTACTGTACAACTCTGCTCGCGAAACTCGTTTCTAACTTTCGATCCCACTGTACCCCATGCGAATTACTCATTCACAAACCAATACAAGTAGTAGTGTGGTACTCTGCCACACCTTACTGTATGTCAAAAGGAGATCTGACGCCTTCGGGTTTGGCTTAGGAATCGACCAAGCATGCTGCCCGTAGAAACTCATGAATTGACTTGGTGGATCTTACATTCGGGTACTTGTTGGCCCTGAGCCCCAGCTGGCAAAAACGCCATTCAGATATTTGTCCCAGTCTCATTTCGTTATCATATGTACATACGTAACATTGGGATTGTAGTGCCGGTACTATTAATAGTATGCGGTACATAAAGATTACTTGTACTCGAAAAATACACTCTCCGTGTATTGGATCATTCTTGCTTTGTCCCACGGGGCCGCACCCACCAACACGATTCAGTTATCATTGCCCATGCTGCTTCACCGAACGCCCCACTCTACACTTGCATCTTCGGTCATGGTCCCAACATTGAACGACGCGGTATCGTACTGCGCAGCGTCCCTTTGCTCCCGTTTTGCCAAAGACAGCGGCCTATGTCTCTTCCACGCAGCTACCATACAGCAGCATGCCACCTCGCTGCGTCAGTACCGCCTTTCCAGTGCTATCATGTCACTCCAGACGCCTCCGCTTTCATCTGTCACCACCACTCCCCATCGTTACCATGACCTCACAAGCTACCTTCCATCCAAATCCTCCAGTGGCCGGTCATCCCCGCACTCAGACGTTGTTCGCGTCCGCCGCAAACTGTGTCAGGTCGACCAATGTACAAAGCGCGCCAAGTCCGGGGGTCTTTGCATTGCGCATGGCGGAGGGAGACGATGCGACGTCGACGGGTGTGTGAAGAGCGCCAAGGAGCGCGGGCTCTGCATCTCGCACGGAGGGGGCAAGCGCTGCCTCGGTAAAGGATGCAACAAGTCGGCATTGCTGGGCGGCTTCTGCGTGCACCACGGCGGTGGCCGCCGCTGTGGAGACGGCGGCTGCACCAAGTACGCCCTCTCGGGTGGTTTCTGCATTGCGCACGGTGGAGGCAAGCGCTGCAACTTTTACGCGTGCCCCAAGAGTGCCGTGAGTGGCGGGTACTGCGTGGCTCACGGCGGCGGCCCCCGATGTGCCACAGCCGGGTGCATGAAGGGCGCGGTCACGGGAGGACTGTGCATCAAGCATGGCGGTGGCAAGAAGTGTCTGCAGACCGCGTGCCGAAAGAACGCTCGCACCAAGGGATATTGCTTTACCCACCTTAAAGCGATGGAAACCCTTGTGGATGACCACGAGGGCGAAGGAGACGACAGCGGGGTCGTCGAGCTGTGAATGTCATTAAACGAGCTGTTAATTTACTGTTAGTATTTACGTAGTATCCACTTTTTGATCGTGATGTGTACGTAAAAGGGACGCAAGCTTAGCTTTGTGGAGAGGATATCATCATGCTCAAAACAAATTGGTTGAGAATTGGTGCGATAAAAGCGTCGAACGTGGCGCGAAACACCTTTGCTAACTGTAACATTACGTAAACGTTATTCTGGACTAATCCTGGTTAATCGGGGAATTGATTAGATAAGACTCCGCACACATATATACAAAAAAGAGTAACCTGGGACTTCGTCCTACCCCGGTGGGCACTGAAATTTCGAAGTTACTTCAAAGTGTATAATGTTATTCCCGGGGTTAAGTGCATCACAGAGGCTAGCTATCGCTAACCTCTGAGACGCCTTAACCCCTAGCTGACATGCGTAGCTGGTGCTATGCTATGGTGCTCTTCATCTATAAACTTCCAACTGGCCAAATCCAAGACAGGAGGTTTTATTATTTAACGCATTTTTATGGAGGTTAAACCCAAAACTATAGTGCGTTAAATCTTGATGGCATGCGTTTTATAACTCTTGAGGTCGGTTAAACGTCAAACCACCTCCGGATACCAAGTACGGATAATTTTCTCATACAAAGATCAAGATATATCTCGCGTGCACCCCTGTGGCCAAATTCTATTCGCCCATGTAAAATACTGCTAGGTTAAATGTCTATTTCTCGATCAATTCGTCACCAATTTCGAATCCGAGATGTAGAATTTCTTCACGGCATTGAGACCTGTGATTCCACGTCTCTATTTGCTGAAATTTTGAGAATTGAAAATGAAATAGCCTGGAGAAAATTTCGTGAAAAGTTGGTAGTTTATAGATGAAGAGCCCCATACTTCCAACTGGCCAAATCGAAGAATAGAGGTTTTACTATTTAACGTACAATTAATGTAGTTAAACCCAAAACCCAAATACGTTAAACACCAATTTCATTCAGCCTCGCCGAACATCGATGTCTTGAACAACACGAGGTATCCATCCTACTGCGTCGACGCTGGCCTTGCAAGTGCATCTGGTAACCAGAATTGTTTTCTTAGAATCCCAAATAAGTGTACTTCCCACGTTGCATCCAATATTCATAGAGACCCGAATGTGATGGTCATACCTTAAATGTACCTTAGCCGTTGTTTTTGACCCCCCCCCCGAGAACCCACTCGACCCCGATGTCCCACATGAGAGGAGGGAAAATTGCTCATTGGTAGTGCATCGGTTTCTTAACTCAGAGGTCGTGGGTTCGATCCCCGGCTTCCTCGGATTATTTCCGAAAGGATTTATCCGTCCCTCCCCTGGGGAATCCGGATATCAAGGTCTGCATACGAAGGCGAGGACCGAACTTCGAAGAAGATCGGTCGAAGCACGAGGAATGAAGCATTAGACCTATTGTTCAGTGACGAAGTTTCAAGTCAGAACGTGGATAGTGATCATCCATCAAGGCAATGACTAAGATTTGTATAATTGCTCATTTATTTAATTATTATTTATGTTATTGAATCAATTCATTGTCGATTGCCGAACTGATCATTTGAACGATCACATGATTTTGAAACCACGAAACGGTAGCATTATTTTGGATCATGTTACATGGACATCACCGGAGTACGGAACATTTGAACCATCATGGGCCCACCAAAAGATGTACTTTTGGGACTAGGTATTTGCATCAGTTGATGTAGTCATGTCTTTGACACGCTATAGGGACGATCGTTCTCCCTGGTGATGACACCACCGCGAATTTCCATTTTTGTTCGAAGTTCTAAAGAAACCTGTAGCTCAAGATACAAAACTTGCATTCTGCAATGGTTATGCCCCGGGTTCGAATCCCACTGAGACCAGATCTTTTTCGGGTGCAATTGTTAACAACTAGAACTCTTGTTCATATTGCAGAAATTTTCTTGAAAACAAAAGAACGAAGTATAATCCTATTTAAAAGCACTTACAGAATCGAGCGTCGGCGATCGACTTGGGGAGAGGCCACCTCAAGTCACCTCGCACGCCGGACTCGACACTGTGCTTGAGCTCGACTCCGCTTCCTCGTTGCCTCGTTGGACATACTACTGTAGCGAGCCAATACACCATGGTAATACACACCATCGGTTCCACGCAGCGGCATCCACGTCACATGTGCGTTAGTTAACGCACAGCACAACCTTCAAATTCGGTCAAAACGAGATTCGTTCCACTTGTACGTCTCACGCATGACCTTCCAAAGGCTGCATATGCGTCCAAAGTAGTTCTCCATCAGCACTCGATCCGATGACGCTTGGGCATTTCGTTCAAGCTCTCGTGCAGTGAGAAGGCCGCCTTGAGGTCTTCGCTTGGGTTGCATGGACCGCACTTCGTGTTGGATCCCTTGGTAGCCCATGTCCACCAGTATGCTCCACGAGTCTGGATACTCCTCGGCACCTTCGTCGTGATCAACTTCTTTGATCTCAGACGCTGACTTGCGAAGCATGTCTTTATGGACATGCCGGCGATGCATGAACATTGTCACATCCGCAACAGATCCAGGACTGTGTTCGGACCTATTAACAGCCACACATGGGTATGCTACGGAGTACTCGAGCTTGAGGCCATACAGCTTATGTTTACCTGAAAAGTAGTGTTTGGCCTCGTCGAATCGGCCCGTCGGATGGTACGATGGTTGGAACTTCACATCGGTGCAGTACAAAGCGGAGGGAAAGTTGTTGAACGTATGCCCGTGTTGAACTTGATTTGTCATGCTGATCGGCTTTAACGAAGTGCTCGTACAGAATAGGTTGCGCTTGGACTTGGCATAAGAACAAGTCTCACATAATTGACCACGAAGGTGCTTGGACTTGAAGAGCATAAGCTCGGGGTTTGTCTTTGTCATTTGATTGAAGGCATCAACGCCTGGATGGCCGAGACGGCGGTGCCAGAGGCGCGCAAGGCTAGCTGCAGATAGCTTGGAGTCAGCCACGAGGCTAGTTAGGCAGTCGGTTGGAACAGTAGTGGTGTCATAGACAGGTGTAGGAGTATGTGAACCAAACATACCCTGGGCTACACTCATCGAGACAGAGTCTGGAGTAATTGCCCCATCCATGGTGGCTATTAGAGCCCTGGTTGCCACTAGGCCCATCGCGATCATCGCGGTCATCACGAGGATGTTGGATAGGACGCGACGGAGCGACATAATCGCGTTTGCGCTTCTTCTGGGAGGCAGAACCATGTTTGTCAAAAACGGCGCGGTCAAAACCAGGCTCATAGTGTTGCGGGCATAGTCTGACTTGAGAGTAGGGCACGCTGGAAGCGTATGATTTGCAATGCCGCAGTAGAAGCAGGACTTGCCGGGGAGATTGACACAATCCCGATGAGCATAGCTCGGAATGGTAAACGCATTCACAACATGAACCGAGCCATCGGCTTGCGTAATTGCTTGGGGTTTGGCTTAACGACATGTGTGACAGCTGTAAGCTGGGTACGTGTTTGAAGGGTAGCGGCAGAGCCGTTGTCACCCAGAGCAGACGCTCGATGGACACGATTGGTAATAATACGCCGAAGAGATGTCCAAACGTCAGCGACGACAACGGACTGGTTGGCGGCGCGCACGGTGGCCACTAAGTTCGTCACAACTTCCCACAATTCCTTGTCACCAATAAAGGTGTCGGACATAGTGTAGGAATTCCAGATGTGGTTGTGGTAGTCGACGGACGAGGTCGCCGATGGATCCAGAGGATTGACGGACAGCGGCGTCATAGACACACGGTAGCACTTGACCAGGTTAATGAGTTCCACAGAGAGTGTGTCAATGCAACTCTCATCGGTGAACTTGAGAGTGCGCAGATAGCTGGCAATAACGGTGGGGTTGTTGTCCATGAGGTTGGACTCGAAACGAGTTTTGATGTGCTCAAAGAGCTCAAACGGACACGCAGTTGCCTGATAGAGGCGGTGTAGGTTGGTAGAGATAGCTGTGACCAAGAAGGTGTGCGCCGCACAGCGTTGATTCGCAAGTTTCTTGGTGGCCTCACAGGCAATAACCTAACGTTGGATGGCGGTCGTGTGCGCCTTGATCTCAGCGAGACACGCATCGCGATCCGTCGCTGACAGAGTCGGGTCGACAACGTAGAGCTCAGAGTGCTCGCTTAATCGAGCTCGAGGTACATCGTGCTGATGTTGAGCGCATCGATACGATTGCCTTGAGGGACATGGTCCTTCGTAGAGTTGAACTCAGCAATGTCGCGGAACTTGGCTTGGGACAAGAAGTACGTTTTCCAGAGCGTGTAGACCAGAGGCCGGAGTTCATCGAGAGGAGTGCCCACGAAGGGCTGCACAGAGGAAGGGAGGAGGCTCATAACCTGTCAAGAGGAACGATGAAGGGGGTAAGCACTTGGGAGGAACGACGACGAAGAACACTTGTGTGGTCGAGGACAAAACCAAAAGTGAACTGCATAGCTGACCTATGATTGGGCAGAAACAGTCAGGCTTCTACAGAGAAAGAACATCGCATAATTCCGGATGACCGGATATTATCCGTAAGTGACCGAACCTCGGCGAAAAAGGCCAAAGCAAGAACGGCCAAAGTGCCCCTTCTTCTTCACATCAATTAACCGATGTTCCACATGTACGGTATAATGACATGAGATGACCTCAATGTCCTTACTAACTTTCACTGAAAATGTCGCCTCTCCTATACATGGGTGGTATCCACATGATTTGACTTCATTTTAGTATGACTCTCAGTGAATGCGCTTGGATGCAATAAGTGGATGCAGTTTATCCCAATATCTTGAACTCACTACATGTATTACCCTGTTTTGTCCCACCTCCGGACGGAAATAGACCTGACATTTGACAAAAATTGATGTAATTTCTGCAAATTTTCAAATTAGAAAAATCTGAAAATAGGTGCGCAAAGGGCTCAATAACGTTAATATAATGCATCCAATCGGCCCGAATTAAAAAAAAAGAGTTGCATTCACAGTCAGTCGCGCACGTTGAAAAAGAATCACGATACTCAAGTTAAGATAAAATACGGACAGAGCCAAACATATCCGAAAACAGGAATGATGATCTCTTTTGAGTCAAGACAGAAGTACACAGACCTTCCGGCACGAATTCGTGCGATACCACCACAACGTCGGACGACTCTCCAGTACAACGCTCACACAATCGGCATACCCGCGAGCACCCTTAAAGACTACTACAAATGCGGTCTCGTAGTAAAGTACAATCCCCACATTAAACCTAAGCTAACCGATGTCAACGTGGCCCGCGTGAAATTGGCCATGGGCTTCGTTCGTCCCGACAGCAACTTTCAGTTCGCCAGCATAATACGACTACGTCCACGTGGATGAGAAGTGGTTCCACGCGACAGAGGTCAAATCGCTAATGTACCTGCTCCCCGGCGAAATCCCACCCCACCACTCAACCCAGAGCAAGCGTTGCATCACCAAAGTGATTTTCTTGTGGGATCAATGAAGAGGACGACGAAGAAGGAGTGTTGGTTCCTACGTAAGGATCAAATGGATTTCCGCTTGAGTATGCAAAGCCAATAATTAAATATAACTTGTTTGTTTATTTAATTATATATCTTTTATTATGGTTATCGATATTGAATAATAATCACATGTGATATGCTGAAGTGACCAAGGCCCCTTGGCAGTTAATTCTACTCCGGAGTATCGAGTAATACATGCCACCTGAACGTACTACGCAATGAAACAAGAAGATGACGTAGTGTTCTACGATATGACACTATACATACATCGCTGTACGCTTGCTCTCCTGCGCATGTCCTCGCTGTGTGTCATTTGTGATCAAAAGTTGTTCATGACGACCAGTGAATTGTGCAATTCGGTCCCAAGAATAGCAGATATAACTTCGATTTGCATTTTTCAAATGTGCAAAAGTGAGGGAGTTGCATAAATGACTACCCTAAAAGTCCATTCTGTAACGATCACTGACATCCTAAATCACGGATTATATTATCTGGGGGTTGATGTTAAACTCAGAACACTCAGGTTTATGGTGTGAATAGCCAAAACGAGTGAAAAGCACAAAAACCCAAATCCAATAATTCCAGGTGGGATTTTACTCCATTAGACCCGTCTGGCAACCTGAAATATTACAATATTCTGGCCCAAAACGTCTCCCTAGAGGAGCTTTAACCCAAATCCAATAATTCTACGAGGGAGTTACTCGTTGAAGGGTCCAAAAAGCCATATGTATTACAAAATGGACCTTTTACCTCCATTTTGAAAATGGAATTTTGGTTTATCCCATTTTGCCAGAAAATGGAATATTATTTTTGACTTGTTATAGTCGCACCCTTAGCTCTTTGAGTCAGGAGGCTTTGAGGTCGACCCAAAAAATAATACTACTCTGGTCCACAATGATCGTTACGGTATTTTGACTCGATTAAAGAATACTCTGGGGCCAAAAGTAACTTGGCTTTTGTATTGAACCTCGACAATGCATAAACACCGATTGAAATTTAATTGATTGTACATATTTTATTCAAGGTACTTAGACTTGCGAATTCAATTGAGCATGAACGCTACTGTACGTTGACGCAGCACAATGAACTTTGAAAGTCGACAGGTCTTGAATGGTACAATCCTTTTTGAGATGCGGAAGCTTATAGTTATTGCCCCCGAGCACCTCCATGGATGTTTCCATAACCTTCTGTAGCGTGACAAATGTCTTCGCCAGAGTTTTGACAGGCATCTCAACAAATGCATATTCAACAGCACCAATG